CAAAGAAAAGAAAAAAAAGAAAGTTAGAAGACCAAAGACCAAAGACTTTGTCAAAATAGAAACTCTAGAACAAAATCCAAGAAAACTCAGAACCAAAAACCAAAGTAACAAATCTAACAGAATAGTTGATCGAAGTAATATATCAAATAAGCATTAAAGACTTATAGACTAATAGTAGAATGTGGAAGATAAAAGAGAAAGACCTACTTATAAAATAGATATAGTATTTGAAGGCCCAAAAAAACACCAATATGAAATAGATTTAAGACACATTAACACATAGGCAAAAAGAAGCCAAGAACTGGAAAAAGAAGAAAAAGAATATATTACTAAAGATATTAGAGAAGATCTTTGTGGAAATCTTTGAAAACTGAAGTATGTGAAATGAAATTTAAGAGAAATTTTTGAAAAGAAAACCATAGCCTAGTAGGAAAAAAAAAAGAGAAAAGTAAAGAAAAGAAAAAAAAGAAGACCTACAAACCTAGTTCATGAAAGAAAAAGAATCTGAACAGACTATCTGAGACTTAAAAGTGAAAAGACTGAAGAAAAACCCAAGACACTTTGAAGAAAAGAAAGCTTATAGAAGAATACATCTAGAAAAGCTTAGTAGAAGAAGTAAAAGAATACTATGGTACTGTGAAACAAAAAAAGAAGATCATTGAAAAGAATATAAGAAGACTCCTGAAAGCCAGATCAATTATCAGAAAGGATAAATTTAACTAGAAGAAAAGGAGGAGAAAATATAAATATAAACAAAAGAATTTTGGCAATTTCCTTTTATTGAAAGATAAAATAGAATTTCTTGTTAAAAAAAATTTAGGTCTAAAATATTGCTTTAAAAAAGAGAATAGTTTAGTTAAGGAAAATTGCCAATTAGATATAGTCAAAAATTCTTTTGATTTGAAACTATCTTGCTATAGTTTTACTGGCTAGCTTGGTATAGCTCTCTGATATAGGCAATAGCCTTAACCAGTAAGGCAGACTATACTTGGATGCCTTTAAAGAAAGCCGAGTGATATCAGATCTATAATTTAGATAGTTATAGAATGTCTTGTATTTTTCTTTGATTTAATAAAGATACTGGCAAGGCTGCCAATATTTTAAAAAAAAAAAATAGTCTTTTGCTTTAAATAACTATTGCAAATAGATTTTTATTTTCTTGAATAGAAAATAAAAAAACTAAAGAGTTTTTTAAATTTATAACTTCTGAGTTAGTATTGTTTAGTTAAAGAAAGTTAGCCAATTCAATTTTTAAAGAGACTACAAAAAAATCAAAATAACAAATTATTAACTTAGCTTCTAGCAATTTAATTAGTATTATACTTGTATTTGATAATTAAAAAAATATCTATAATAAATCTTTGCTTGATAGCATATTAATACTTTTTTTTAGCATTTCTTTAATTTAAGATACAATTGATATTAGTAATAAATAAATTTATACTATACTACAGAAATAATAAAATATTTTAAAGATATTTTTAATAAAACCCAATCTAAAAATATTTTAATAAATAATATAATAACAGATTTGCAGAAAAAATAATAGCAGCAAGATTTTATTATATATTAAATAAATATATATTTATTTATATTTTATAATTTATTTTAATCTAAATTTTCTTTATTAGCATTAACTACAAATAAAATTTACTAATAAAATATTTTTATTCTGTTTTGCATATCAAATTAACTTATATATTGCTAATATATTTAAATTCTCTGAACTATTTTATAAAATTGCAAATAATACAATAAAACTTGTTAGTTTTTAATATATTTTACTAGCCTTTTAGAGATGTGACAAAAATTAGATAATTTTTTAGAAAAGAGAAAAGGTAAAAAAAGTTAAAATTATATATAAGAACCTGATTTTTTTTATATTAATAGAGGTGAGAAAGTAGATTTCTAATAAAAAATAATCAGGTAATAAATAACATAACTCTTATAAAATAAACAAAAATTACTTGATAATATTTACTATGCTCTTATAAAGCTAGCAGAGACTTGCTAGAATTCTTACTATTTTTGTTTTAATTTAATACTTCAAACTAAAAAAGTATTTAAGGTAATTAAATATAATATTTAATATATCTGTTTATTTTTTAATAGTTATTTTCTCTATTATTATTTACCTATATTATATAAGATTAAAATTAGTATTTAATTAGTTGCAGGTATATAAGTTGCTATTAATAAAAATAAAGCAAATTAATGATTTGAAAAAATTAATATTTCAATTTTCATATTTATATCTTGATAAATTTCAAAGCTATTTTTATACTTTAATAGTCAAAAAAAGCTTAAATTTTAAGCTTTTTTAACTATTAAACTTGCAAATTGCTTTAAAGTTTATTAAAATATAAGTATAAAAATTAAAATATCAAATTTTTTTGAAATATAAATTTGCTTGATTTCAAATTGTGGCAACCTATATATTTCCTTTAGATTGTAGTAGTCATAGGCAAATTTGTCTACATTTTTACACTTTTTAGCTCTGATTTATTTTTTTTAAAAACTAAAATAATTAAATAAAACTTTGCACAATTATAGTTGAAAATAAGGATTACATTTTTGCAGTATTTATTTTTAGATTATAAAAAAAAATTATAGTATATGGGTATATTTACAGAATTAAATTAAAGTTTTTTTAGAGTTTGCTTTTTTTAAATTTTAAAAACAAATAATTTTTAATGAAAATTATATTTTGGTGCATCCCTAATCATAGGGTATATATACAATCAGTGATCATTGATAATTACTATTTTTTTTTTTGTACAGTACTGCTTTTTTTTTTTCTGCTTTTTTTTTTTTGTACTAATATTGGTTTTTTTCATTCAAAGCTTTTAACATGTGTTCGGATTTGGTAAGCATGTTTGTTTTGTGCTGTTGTCTTTGGCGTCATTGCTTCAGGTATCGCCGTGTTCGATGTCGTTGATTTTGGCATTGTCAATTTCAGCATTATAAATTTCGGTGGGTAGGTCCTGATTATGTTTTGTGCTGTGAGTCGTTATTTGCATAGATTTTGTTCTAGAGTTTCTATTTTGACAAAGTCTTTGGTCTTTGGTCTTCTAACTTTCTTTTTTTTCTTTTCTTTG